CGAATCGCTGGCCCCTTTGACGGTTCTCGACGACACGAAGCCGTCGCAACCCCAACTTTGCTCGATCTGGGCCAAACCGACTAGCGCGCAGCCAGCCTCCGTCACGGAAGCATCAGAGCTCATCCAGACGATTTACATGCGCGCGTACGAGAAGCTAGTCCAGTCCAAGGGCGAGTTCAGACTGCGCGTCATCATTGGGAAGGACGCTGCTGCCGCGTGCTCACAGTCCGACTTCATCATCAGGGATACGGCAGCAAGTCCGCTTGCAAACACGGCATTGTTCCAGGGCATTGATTCGCTTATACTGGGCTGCCGGCCAAAGGGAGAGAGCCTGGAGGAAGTTCAGTTCAAGCGTGGCGCCGTCGCGGAGGGCTGCCGGCTGTGGCTGGTGTCCTCAAAGTCAGAGGGCGGACGTGCATTGGCCAAGGACATTGCCTTGATGGCTGGCGAGATCGTGCGCAAGGCAGCGACAGGGTCATCTGAAGTACGGGATGGCGCCGGACTACAGGTCCAGGCTAGGATATAGAGCGGGATGATGGTGCGCAGCTGTGGGTTCTGGGTTCCAAGGTTTAGGCGCTAGATGGTGCAGAATTTTATCTAATCTGATGCAACTTGAGCACAGACCCAATGCAAGTGACTCGCCGGTGACACGTCCTGAAGCCTCCACACACGAACCACACCGGCCCACACTACTTTCCACCACGCATCCTTCTTCACGTGACGCTATGCCTCTTCACGCTGTGCTAGCAGTTGACCCTGCTGCTGCACCATGTCGATCTTGGCCATTGCCTCCTGGCGCGGCCATAGCGCCCGGGGGGTGAACCTCATGCAGGCGCCTTCGCGCAGCTTCACCACTGCATACGGCGCGAGATACTCCTTCTTGAGCTCCTAACCACGTCTCGCAGGCTCAATGCCGTTCAGTAAGCCCTCTGGGGCCTCTATCAGGCGTTTCTTTGGTTTCCTACACCTCCTCTTCTACGCAGACCCGACATGGCTCGACAAGATACTGGTCTTCGTGGGCGCCATAGCTGCCATTGCAGCAGGCGTACCATTCCCACTGATCGGAATTGTCTTCGGTCAATTGGTCGACGAGATCAATGTTGCGACATGCAACAACCGCGAAGGTAGCTCCAACGGATCTGAAGAAGCCAACATCACGCCCAAGATCCTGCTGCTCGTCTACATTGCTTGTGGCACTTTCACTTGCATCTACACGCACCTTGTATGCTGGAATTTGGCATCACAGCGCCTAGCTCAACGCATCCGAGACCGTTACCTCCGAAACCTGCTGCGACAGGACATGGCCTTCTTTGACAACCTACAGGCCGGAGAAGTGTCTTCTCGACTCAACGGTGACATCCAGTCAATCGAGAGTGGTACTGGCGAAAAGGTTGGCGTGGCACTGACTTGCCTCTCCTTTTGTGTCACGGCCTACATCGTTGGCTTCATCAAGAATGCCGAGATCGCTGGCATGCTCGTCTCTTTAATCCCTGCATTCTTGCTCATGGCCGTGGTTGGCGGCCACTTCTTTGGCAAGTATGCTGCCAAGGTCGGTGATTGCTTTGGGTCCGCTAGCGCCATCGCGTCTGAAGCTCTCAGTCATGTGGGCCTCGTGCATGCGCTGGGTGCAAATGCCAGGCTCGAGGCAAAGTTCGAGGGCCATTTGAGCGATGCTCGTGAGGCGGGTGTCAAGAAGGCCACGACCGCTGCGGTTCAGGCTGGTCTGCTGTACTTCATCGCCTTTTCGGCCAGCGCCCTAGGCTACTGGCAGGGTAGTCGCAGGATCGCAGACTCCCTCGAGGGCAAAGGCAGTGCGACTATCGGAGAGATCTACACCGTCACGTTCATTCTGCTCGATGGTCAGTATCTTACCGATCGTTTAAGTCTTCCGATGCTAACCTCCAATACTAGGTGCCATCGTTCTCAGTCAGATCGCGCCGATGTTGCCATTGTTTGGCGGGGCGATATCAGCTTTCGAGCGCTTGCGCAAGGACATCGAGACTCAACCCACCATCGACAACACCTCGTCATCCGCGGAGAAGCCTACTCATGTTGATGGGACTGTTGAGTTCCGCAACGTCGCGTTCACGTACAGTTCAAGGCCTGATCATCCCGTGCTGAACGGTATTTCTTTGACATGCGAAGCTGGTACGTCACTTACATGGAACGAAATGGAAGGACGTATGCTGACCATCTAACTCAGGTAAACTGACTGCTATCGTGGGTCTTTCCGGAAGCGGCAAGTCCACAGTCGCTAGTCTTATCAGCCGATTCTATGATCCGGAATCTGGCGATGTACTTCTGGACGGTCGCAATGTCAAAGACATCAACATCAAGTCTCTCCGAGGTTTTATCAGTCTCGTCCAGCAAGAACCTTCACTTCTTGATCGCTCCATCTTGGAGAACATTGCTCTCGGTCTCGTCAACAGCCCGCCTCATGCGCATCTCGAGAAAACACTGCTGAGCGGAGTCCTCGCTCAAGTTGCGGAAGACGTCAGGGGCGGCCAGAATCTTGCTCAAGTCGCCGAGAAGGCTGGTCCTGAAGTTGTAGAGATCGTTCAACTTGTGAAAGATGCTGCTGACCTCGCTGATGTTGCTATCTTTATCGATCGCCTGGAGTTCGGGTTCGCAACCTCGGTTGGCTCAAGTGGCAGTCTCGTCAGTGGTGGACAGAAGCAGCGTATTGCTCTCGCCCGAGCTCTTGTCCGCGACCCTCGTATTTTGATTCTCGACGAAGCCACCGCTGCTCTAGATTCAGCCAGTGAGCAGCGCATCCAAGCTGCTATTGAACGGGCTTCCCGCGGCCGGACAGTGATCTCGATCGCTCATCGATTGTCCACTATCAGAGCTGCAGCGAAGATCATCGTCATGAAGAAGGGTGACATCATTGAACAAGGTACCCACGATCAACTCATGGACTTGGAAGGGTCATACGCAGACATGGTTCATCTCCAAAGCGTCAAATCTGACGACGGTGCGACCAGCTCAAGAACCAGTCTGGACTCCCGCGATGCCGATTCTATCACCAATGAGAAGTTGGCGCTAAGTGCGCAGGAGCCCGATGCTGTACCAGCGAACGACGCCAATGCTGCGGAAGCTGTCGAGCACACTAAAGGTGTCGTCATTGCGGGCTCTATCAGGAAGACAATGCTTCCTTTGACGCGACCGTACCTACTTCTCGTAATGCTGGCTTTCTTGGCAGCACTGGTAGTAGGTGGCCAGTACTGCGGATCGGGTCTCCTGTTCGGTAACATCATGGGCACCATGTCTCCATGCAACACGCCCGAGTATGTTCGTTCTAGAGGTGAACTCCTCTCTGGAATGTGGTTCATGCTTGCCTGTGTTGCCTTCCTGGCCAACTTCACCAGTTGGGCGTCCTTTGGTCTCTTGTCGGAACGATTGATCTACAAAGTCCGCAACCTGTCTCTACACACGCTACTCCAACAGCCGCTACAATGGCATGAGTCTGAATCAAGAAGCCCCACTGTGCTCCTCGAATTCATCACCAAAGATGGCCAATCGTTAGCGGGCTTCAGCGGCTCCATCATTGGCACACTCTTCTCCGTCGTTGTCAACTTTATAGCCGCCATCATCCTCTCCCACATCCTCGCATGGAGAATCGCAATTGTCTGCCTCGTCGTCGTACCACTTCTCTTGGGCGCCGGTTTCATGCAGTTGCGTGCTATTGGCAAATTCGCCGCAAAGCACGCTGGAGCTTTCAGCTCTTCTATCGGTGTTACCATCGAAGCCGTCTCTAACATCAAGACTGTGCATGCACTTTCTATCGAAGAGGAGATCATTTCAACTTACAGGCGATCGCTGAAGGCTCCACGCAAGGAGATGGTGAAGCAGAGCTTCAAGACCAACGTCTGGTTGGCCGTCGCCAACTCTTGTGGTACATTTATTTACGCTTTCGCCTACTGGTGGGGCACCAAGAACATCATCGAAGGCAGGTACACCCAAACTGAGTTCTTCGTCATCCTGATCGCCATGCTTGTCTCCGCACAGCTATGGGGTCAGCTGTTCACGCTTGCACCTGAGATCTCCAAGGCCAAGAGTGCCATGTCGCGCATTTGTGGACTAATCGAATTGGGCAAGGATACGCCTGATGCGGGTCGCCGTGATGACCCCAGTCTCTCGGAGAAGAACCAGGACGACATCGAGGCACTGGCTGAATCTCCAATACCAGCTACCACACAAGGTGGTGCTAGGGTTGTCTTCCGAGACGTGGGCTTTTCGTATCCAGCACGTCCTGGTGTGCCGGTCTTGACATCTCTTTCCTTGACCATCCAGCCCGGCCAATTCTGCGCTTTGGTCGGACCATCTGGTGCAGGTAAAAGCACTGTTCTGGCCCTTCTTGAACGATTCTACTCTCCCTCCTCCGGTAGCATCTCCATCAACGGCCTCGATATCTCTCGGCATCATGGCGCGTCATTCCGCGATGACATCGCCTATGTACCACAAGAGAACATTCTCTTCCAAGGAAGCATCAAGTTCAACATTGGATTAGGAGCGAGACCTGGGCACACCCCATCCGACGAAGAGATTCAAGAAGCCTGCAAGCTGGCGAACATACACGACACCATCATGGATCTTCCCCAAGGCTATGATACCGAGTGTGGCTCCAAGGGCAACCAGCTATCTGGCGGCCAGCGTCAACGTTTGTCCATTGCTCGAGCTCTTGTGCGTAAGCCGAAGTTGCTGCTGCTGGACGAGAGTACGAGCGCATTGGATGCGGAGAGTGAGAAGGCTTTGGAGCAAGGCCTCGAGCGGGCTGTCAAGGGTCACGGTGTGACCGTCATCGCGATTGCGCATCGACTGAGGACGATCGCCAGAGCCGATGTGATCTTCTTGGTTGAGGCGGGTAAAGTTGTGGACCAAGGACGTCACGAAGAACTGGTGCAACGCAGTGAGAGTTACCGCGTCAACGCTCTCCATCAGATGCTTGGGTAGATTTGTTCGTAATATGTATCTTTATATCGCATTCCACCATGGCAGTTTCACGCCAGCTCCACAGACTTTGGTAGTCTCTTTTCTGCGCCTTCCGGCAGCCAGACGAACAATGGAAGCTCTTGGTCCTCCCTCGCGCCGTTAGTCTTCTCCGGAGTAATGTCTTCCGACTTGTGCACCAGCTTCTCTTTCAATCTTCTGCTTCCCATCTTCTCGTAAAGCTTGATGCCCTCCTTGGAGCTCTCTATGTACATGGGCAATCCAGTCTGCCGGCAAATGTCCATCTCATACTTGAACAGCAACTCGCCAATGCCCCGCCGTTGGTAGTCCGGGTGCACGGCCATCACGTGGCAGTAAACGTATCTCTCATTGAGCCACAGCTTCTCTCTCGCGTCCCAAAGAGGCTTCACAAGTGCCTCGGCCCGTTCACGTTCCTTGCCCTTCAGCCATCCAATTTCGCCTCTCTTCCAATCACTAGGCGCGATGTACACGTCGAAAAGCGCCATACCAACGATCTTGTTAGTTTCGGTGTCGACACACTTCAGGGTGTATTGCGTTGCACTTGTCTTCCAGTACTCCGAGACATGGCCGGTGTGAGCCTGTCTTCTCCTAGTCAGTCCACACGTCCGACAGTACACGCGATTCAATGACCGGCACTTACCGAAACTCGGATGTTGAGTCTGTTAAATCTCTCTCGGTAGCCGAAGGAAACAGCGCGCGCGTGATCGGGCTGTCCTTGAAGGCTGCAAAGTGCACATCGTACACCGCGCTAATGTCTGGCACCAGAGCGGGGAGGACTACGAAGCCCATATTGAACGATTCGTCGACTCAGTGTAGTGTCGTTTGGATGATCGAGCAGCGGGGAAGGATCTAGACCGTCTGCCAGTCAAGACGTAAACTTAGAAACAGAAGGTTTTGGTAACGTTTGACAGCTGCAGCGAACTGTTCGACCCAAAGACATGAACTTGGTAGCATTATCGCCCATTAACCACGCGGGTTCAACGATCCACTCTCGATGCCCAGCCTTGCGGTTCAGAGATCGTCAGTCACGCATACAACATACTTTGATACCAAGCAGTTGGAGGACGGGCACCATAGCTGTGCCAACTCCTCGGCTGTCACTGAAGCACTACCGCCTGCCTCACAACGCTAAATTACAGGGCGCAAAACTAGAATGCAAGACCCACATTACGACATGAAAAACCCTCACGCCACCGACGACAACCAGACCTTCTCCATTGAGGCGTACCGGCCGTTCTGCCTGTGCCTCCCCCTCGCATGTGCCGATTAAAGTTATCTGATCCGTCCTTAGCGAAACTTCCCGGCCACGGCGAGGGATGTGCCGTCGTACAACCGGATGACGCCTAGAGCGCCAAATCCGAGAAATACCATGGCCATGCGCATATCCACCTTTTGCCGCGATCAGCGCGTACAAGAGAATTTGCCGTGTCGTTCACGCGTGGGATGGCCGTATCCCGTATGTGCAGCGTGCATACTGCAGACCGGCCCTTCTTATTGAACCAGCAACATCCCTAACGAATGATGCACGACACTTAAAGCCGGTGGACGCTGTCGATCGATGCAAGCAACGGGCATTGATGCTGTAATTGGACGCGAGTAGTTCTCCGAACATCGGCCGTTATCAGATGAAAAAGATCTGCAGCGCCAAAGACGTAACCCTGCATGACTCCTACTCCATCGGGCAATTCCGCGCTTGCATCGATACCACATCATCAAATTTATCAGATGAAGCCTCATGACGCCGCCTTTCACGCTAGAATTATCTGATCCGCTAAGTGTGGGGATGGGTGGGCAGGGGCGGACGAGGCTTTTCTTTACGGCTAAATCGTGGTACTGCGCCTGATCCCACATTGGTGACATCGCCTCCGTGTTTTACGTTAGGCGATGCGCAATACAGCCTGCATCGAGAAAGACACAATGGCGCGATATAGTGGACCCTGTTTTCGCGTCGTAAGAGAAAACTATGACGCCGACGGCTGTCCGACCGAGGATGATGGGTCACTTGAAGCGGTCTGGTGTGCTCGCGCCGGAGATTCATCCTGGCGCGATGTGTGGAGAGTTTAGTCTGTGAGAGAGACGGAAGATCGTGGGTGAACTTGGTGGACTCGCGGCTTTACACTGCTTGGCTATTGCTACAGAAGTATCCGGGGTCTTCATCGGACTCGGAAATATACACGTCTTCCTCAGCTCCACATCTTCTCCAAAAATATATACCGACCTCGCCATGAAGAGACCACATAGCAGTTTGAGCGGCGACAAGATGCATCTTCGCAACGGCGAGCATGTATCAAACTTCAGTGGTGCTCCAGAGGAGCATGTTGCGAAGAAGGTGCAAAGCAATGGCGCCTCGAAGACGCACAAGCAGGCCGCAACCCAGAATGGCGACCATGACGTTCTGCATACGAACGGCCACAGCTCGAAAGCTAACGAGATTCGGGCATTAATGCCCAGCGACCTCACCTCAGATGCTGTTGTGGATACTGTTCTGGCTGCATGGTCGGTACTCGTACACCGATACCAGAGAGATGTCTTCCATCAATTCACTTGGGGCGCGGTCGATGGCCGTGATCGGGCTTCGCAAACCATCAACACAACCGATATCAACTTCGCCAGCCACCAAACAGCCGGGAGTTTGAAGTCACAGATCAGCAATGTGCGATCAAAGGACTATGATGCGCACAACGTTACTCTTTTCCTCAACGATGGATCATTACATGAGGTATTAACCAGCCCAAGCATTTCCCTGACACGACTGACATGACCCAGTGGACTTTTGAAGTATCATTCAGAAGGGAGGGGGGCTCTCTCCATGCCACTTCAAGATGGCAGACGACGACCATGTCTCGCCACCAAGCCGTTTCGCAACTTCATTTCTTTGCTTCGATTCTTGATACCCTATTCAGCAACCCTGATCACACACTCTCTTCCTTCATGCCTGTTACCGAAGAAGAACTAGATGAGCTCTGGAGTTGGAACTATCCCTTACAGCCAGAGTTGAGGTTCTGCATGCATGAGAAGGTTTCCGAGCAGGCTGCGCTCAATCCGGAGAAGATCGCCATCGAGGCCTGGGACGGCACCTTGACATATCGTCAAGTCGAAGATTATTCTACCGATTTGGCGCAGACCCTGCAGCTGCTGGACGACTCGCCGCGTCAGATCATTCCGGTACTTTTCGAGAAATCGCGATGGACTTCAGTTGCGGTGTTGGCTGTCATGAAGGCCGGCGCATGCTTCGCGCTCCTTGACCCAGCACAACCAGAAGGCCGCCTACGAGCAGTAGTGCAGCAAGTCAGTGCAAAGCTCTTCATCTCATCGAAAGCTCAGTCTACGCTAGCTGCGCGTGTCGCCCCATCGGCGACTATCATCCCCATCTCCGCGTCCAAGTTTGACAAGGTGTACTCTCCAGCTGCTGCGCAGCAACCGAAGACCACTCTCGCACCAGTATCACCTGACCAGCCGTTGTACATCCAGTTTACCAGTGGAAGTACGGGTCTTCCGAAGGGATGCATCATTACGCACAGTCAGTACACGTCTGGTGCGATACCGCGCGCTGACGCTGTGGGCTATCGATCGCATTCTCGTGTGTTGGACTTCGCGAGTTATGCCTTCGACGTGTGTATTGACTCGATGCTCTGCACTCTCGCCCACGGTGCTACGCTCTGCACACCTTCCGATGAACGTCGGATGAACGACATGAGCGGTGCCATGCGCGACATGCGCGTGACATTCGCCGGCATGACTCCCTCGGTCGCTCGCACGCTGGACGTCGACATCCTTGACCACTTGGATTCCATCGCGCTAGGTGGCGAAGGCGTGTCGACTAGCGATGCAATGTCGTGGGGTCAAAGGACCAGGGTCGTCAATGCCTACGGACCATCGGAAGCTACTGTTGGTGCGACCATCAACGACAACGTGGCCGCCAAGCCATACATCACTATGGGCAAGCGCAAGGGGTGTGCCATTTGGCTTACCGAGCCCGAAGATCACAACAAGCTTGTTCCTGTTGGTGCAGTCGGCGAGCTGCTCATCGAAGGCCCCATCGTTGGCGACGGGTATCTCAACAACCCGTCAAAGACGAAGGAAGTGTTCATCGAAGATCCAGAGTTCTTGCTCAAAGGTAGCAAGAGCTACCCGGGTCGACATGGCCGCATCTACAAGACCGGTGATTTAGTACGTTTCGACCCTGATGGCAACGGTGAGCCCATCTTCGTCGGACGTCAAGATCAGCAAGTCAAGCTCCGAGGCCAGCGCATTGAGCTGGCTGAGATTGAGTTCAACATGCAGAAGCATCTCCCCGCAGATACTCAACTCGCTGTTGAAGTCATCAAGCCTAGTGGAGGTGGTGAACAGACGCTCGTCGCTTTCCTTGTCGAGCAGAAGAAGAACGGCATGCGACATCTCGACGGAAATGTGTTCGGAAGCTTCACCACCAAGTTCCAGTCAGCTCTCAAAGCCATGACCAAGCAACTCGCCATCGACCTTCCCGGCTACATGGTGCCAAGCGCTTACATCCCGCTCTGGAAGATGCCACTACTAGTGTCGTGCAAGACAGACCGGAAGCGACTTCGCGAGATCGGTACCTCCGTCACACGCCAAGATCTCAGGCGCTTCAACTCAGTCATCTCGGAGAAGCAAGAGCCTACTACTGAGACGGAGCTCAAGCTCCGTTCCTTGTGGGCGAAGCTTCTGGGTGGAGAAGCGGATTTCAGTGCCAACGACAACTTCTTCAGTATGGGCGGAGACTCCCTCCGAGCGATGAGGCTGGTTCCTCTTGCGAGAGAAGCTGGATTGTTGCTACACGTTCCAGACATCATGCTGAATCCTACCCTGTCGGCCATGGCAGCCAAGGCAACACCGTTGTCGGAAGAAGCAACGAACGACGTACCTGCTTTCTCGCTGGTTGGAAAGGATTGGGAAGCGAAGTCGGCACAAGTGGAAACTGCCAAGCTGTGTGGTGTTGAAGTCGACGAAGTCGAGGACGTTCTTCCCTGCACGCCGCTTCAAGAAGGCCTCATGGCTCTCTCCGCCAAGTTCCAGGACGCGTATGTCGCTCAGCGAGTTGCGACTCTTCCATCAGCGACAGCTGAGCGCTTGAAGAAAGCTTTCGATATTGCTGTGCAGGGTTCACCTATCTTGCGCACAAGGATCGTTAACGTCTCTGGCCGCGGTCTTTACCAAGTCGTCCTCAAGGACGGAAAACTACTGCGCGAGCATGGTTCTGATCCAGCAGAGTATCTTCGACGCGATCGCGAGGAGGCTATGGATCTAGGGACTGCACTCTTCCGCTACGGTCTGGCTCAAGAAGCCGGTAGCGACAAGACTCACTTTGTCATCACGATGCATCACGCTGTATACGATGGCTGGTCGATGCCTCTCGTGTTTGATCGCATCAACCGCGCTTTCAATGGCCTCACGACTGAAAGACCTGTATCTTTCAAGCATTTCATCAAGCACCTCACCAGCCTTGATCCAGCCGTAGCTCGAGACTACTGGAAAGAGCGATTGAACGGCGTCAACCCACATCAATTCCCTCCTCTCCCGCAGAAGGGATATGTCACCCAAGCCGACTCGTTGCTCGAACACTACGTTACCGTTCCAACATCAGCGCACAATAAGCTCACTCTGGCAACTATCATCCGTGGAGCCTGGGCACTGACATCATCTCTGTACATGGGCCATCCAGATGTTGTCTTTGGCGAGACGTTGACAGGTCGGTCCGCACCCGTGCACGCGATTGTGGAAATCGAAGGACCCATGATCACAACCGTTCCCATTCGCGTCCGATTGAA